TAAACTTTTCTTTTTCTTGTTGCTATCATTTGTTTAGGATAAACCACCAACCTTTAATATCTGATAGGATTTCTTCTAATATGTTCTCATTATGTATTAGAATTTCTACATTATGTTGTTTACTAATTTCTTGTAGTAGTTGGTTATAGTTGGCAATCTGAAGTTCTATGTGACCTTGCTCTGGGATGTTACTAAGTTTCTTGAGACTTTTATAGATTCTACTAACTATTAGTATATCTTTTTTGAAAAGTAAATCAGGTTTGTTTTCCATACTATTGTTGTTCCTTTCTGTGTCATGTTTAATTTTTTTTAAATGAATATTTCGCTTGGCTGTGTATAAATGCTATCCTTAATTGATTGCTATATTTTATTGAGAACTCCTGCCTCTTTAAGTTCCTGAATATTTTTCTCTTTAAAGTTATCCAATACTTGAAAACTAGCTCTCTTCTTCAAGAAATTCTTTAGTTCTTCTTTATAATTTGTCCAGTTTTTTTCGGAGGCTTCATTATAGAGAAAATGGATAAACCTAGTATTCTTGCTTTGACTCGACCTGTTTGAGGCTTCTAGAGCTTTGTTTGTTAGACTAATTTCTATAGCTAGAGTGCTATGGTCACTACCTGTTACTAGTACCATATCGTAGATTTTTGTTTATCAAGCATGCTTTTTAAGTTTGATTCTACACAAATCTAGTCTATTCTTGAATATGTTTCACTATTTGACCATGTAAATTTTTTTGTACTAGAATTTAACATTCTGTATATGTCTATAAAGTCTTGATTTTGAAGCTACTTGTGTAAGACTAAATGCTTTGGACTGAGTCTGTTGCATTTGAAACTTTGTCTAAAATTTTGTTTACTACAAAGTTAAAATTCCCCATTATGATCACATGTGCATTTTTGGATCTAGTTAGGTATATTTGTATGACTTGTTGTTGGATTAACTTGATTTGTCCTTTGTTATTTAGGGGTAGATAAAGTGTAAGTATTACTAGATCAGTCTTTTTAAAGAGCAAGTACATCTCTAATAAATATTTATTATGTTTTATGATTTTTCCTGCATGTATACCAATATTCTTTCTTATCAGCAAACCTATTCCTGAACCTTTTTTCTTTGTATCACTTGTATTAGCCCAAAAACCTATATACCCTTTACAACTTTT